TGTAGTATGTAGCCGATAGTAATACTGTAATACAGACAATAATACCATAATAATTTTGAAGGTGATGAATAGTTACTAAGCTTGTTGTGGTGGTCATCTTGTAGTGTGTTTGTCCAATCACTAGGTTGTACACCCGAAATGAACATAATACTGTACATCAACTATGCTTCAGAAAAATTTTAAAAAGTAATCAAGCCTTATGTCCCAGGTCTGGCCTATGGTGACACACACATGTTCTGAATAGCTCTATGACTATGTATTTGTTTTGTTTTGAGTTAAATATCTTCTATCGATAATGAGTCCCAAAACGAGCCCAGTACAATGATCAACAGGAGTCGTGTCTGGCCATGTCAGAGCTCTGGGTCTCAGGCCCCTGGGGAGGTTAGTTGATATTTTGACAGCTTGCAGTCAGGAATCTTCAAGCCAGGATGCCTTGAATGTGTGGTCTTGATATCCTATTCCTTGTATCAGAGCTCATCTGCAGAAGAAAATCCAGGGGCACAGGCTCAAATATAGACTAGTGGTTTTGAGCAATGACAGTAGAAAGAGTACTATGGGTTGACATTGCATTAGAGACCCAATAAAGCCAATATTTATACCAGTCTAATCTTGAGACCAGTTTTAGTTGACATGGTTAAATAGTGAGTGAGTCTTTAGAAAAGGTATGTTGATTCCTTGCCATTTTGTCTGAGGGAATTTCTCTAGGATAAATATTATCTGTAAACTCTTGAGCTTATACCTCATCATGGCATTATAAGTACTTACACCCTCAGGAGAAACATTGGTGTTTCATGAGTATCCAGTCAACAACTTCTGGAGCCAATAGCACCCCCATTTGTGACAACCAAAATTGTCTTCATATATTGCCTGATGTCCCCTCGGAGAGGGACAAAATTGCTCTTGGTGAGAAGCACTGTGCGAGTGCATTATGACCATGTTTTAGATCTAACTTTTCTGGAATATATCTACTTTCAAAATAAATTATTATCTGTTCTCTCAGTTTTGATTCAAAACCTGTGCACTCAGCTAACTCCCAGGACAGTTGGTATGTCATATCCAACTCCTCTGTAGTCCATACATTTCTCATTTTAAGCTCTCTCTTCCTCTAGCCACCCCCTTAGCTATAAAAATGCCTAATGCATGTGATGGTTTATGGCAGGGAGATAATAACTATTATTCCTTCTCTCTCTTTGTCTTTCTTTCTTTCATCTACCAATTCCTGGGATTGCAGCAGATTTTCTAGCCTAGTGGTAATTCTGTAGTTCTTGCCTCAGCTTTGTGTTCATTATTTTCATGAATCCTGGGGTTGACTTTGACTTTTTCTCACCGGTTTTGTAAACCTTGGTAAGGTTGAATTAAAGCATGGTTTATTTATTTCAGAGTACTGTTCAATGTTTCAAGTAATATGTTCAGCATGATTCCACTTTTTCACATACACACACACGTATGCACACACACACAATAGGCTAATACACATGTGCAGGAAAACATTATGGAGGGATATGTTCCAAATGATAATCTTTACCCTAAATGAGATCCTTAGTGATTCAGTGTTTTTTCTTTCTGCTCATTTATATTTTCTAATTTTTCCTACAATATGCATTTTGCTTATAAATTAAAAAAGACAAAAATGTTTGCAAAGTCATTCTCAAGCTTTCTGTCTGATCAGTGCGAGTTGACACTCACCCACGGGTGTTGTTAATGGTAACCAGAGTTTTGTTTTCAGTGGCGCTTATTTTTGGAAGACACTAGGACAACTGAGTCACCCATCGTATTTTAGGGAAAAGGATGAAACAAGAAACCCCAAAGGAACAGGTGAAGATTCGCTAGGCAGATTTCTGTCTTGTACTGAAAGTTTTTTGGGTCAAGATATATGTACGTGCATGAGCTCAGATGGAACTTTCCTGAGCCATGGCGGGGCTGAATTTAGCCGTGAGCTAAGGCTCTCAGTCACTCAGACTGTCATCCAGCAGAGAATGGCTAGCGTATCCTGGGGCTTTGTTTATTGAAAAGAGGTCCAATGAGCACACCATGTTCTTAGAGCATGCTGGCCTTGCTCTTCTCCAAATGGCCTCGCAGTGCTAAGCATCTCCCTGAGCAGCATCAGCTGCTGATGTGACTCACTGTCAACAGCCTCCAGGACCTTCGTGAATCACAGCTCACGGGCAGGCCCATGCTCAGCTGAGACATGCCAGTAGCTGAAGTTATAGCCTCACTGGTTACTGTGTACTTTTAGAAACCCAAATTAGCTTTCCTCAGGGAAACACTATGGTGGTGGGCAAAAGCAGACGCCTCTTTCTTGTCATCTTGGGCACAGCTTGATGCTGCTATGAGTGGCTGGCTGTTGATGATGGCGGAGTTTGCAAGAGAGAAGTGATAGGGAAGGGGGGAGCTGGGTGGATGTAGCTGTTTGACTCTTGAGTGCACGTGATCTGATCCAAAGTGTTTAGCACCAGGCTCAGCTGGCTCAGAAGGAGTACAAGCTTGGTAGATAGACCCCAGAGTCTGAATGCAGCTTCCATTGCTTATTTTGTATTAACTTCTCATAGCCTCAGTGTCCTCATCTATAAAATGGGCACAGAGAAGATTTCCTCTTAGATCTGTTGTGAGGATAAAGACACAGAATGCTTGTAAGTGACAGTCTGGTATATAGCAGACATTCAGCGTTCCTTTCTCTCTAGTTGGTGTCCAGGTTTGTGACTGACAATTCGAATAGACCAGAGAGCAAGTATTTCAGGTTTTGTGGGTCAGGAGGCAAGACTGAGGATATTATGTACATATTTACATTACAGAGAGAAAACAAATTTCTACCAATTTTGAATTGATAAAATCCAAATATAATAACAGGATAGAGGTTCTTTAATATAGACCTACCAGTGAAAAGAAAGGGATTCTTTTTCTGGGGAGACAACATTTGACTTAACTGGGGCTCAAAGTCAGTGCTCCTTATTATCAGATCGATTGCCCATGTTCATCTGTACAAACCATTCTTAACTTGCAGACCAAATACACACAGGCAGCAGGCTGATTTGGTCCGCAGGCCATAGTTTACAGTTTCTTGTTGTAGACTCTCTACAGCTAATGCTGGTCTCTACTTGTGCTCTAACCCAATCACCCATGAGGAGTAAATAATTTGAAATCATAATTGCTAATTAATAAACAATAATTGGAGGGCTACAATCTGGAAAGGAAGATGAAATAATTCAATCTGTAAATAGGCTCTTGGAAGCTGACAAAGTGCTTATTTTATCTGATCCATTTGTGGCTGAAATCAGGAAAACAGTAGGAAGAAATGATCAGGCCACACAAACTGACCACCTACACAGAGATCAAGCATGGATCATCACAGAAACAGACACTCTATCAGGTTTTTTCTGCTTCTTATCAAATAAGAAGTGGACATGCCTATTTGTATTCATCCCCACCCCCTCCATGCAAAGGAGGGATTAAAATTTGGCAGATAAAGTATCAGAGGGTCCCTTCCTGCTTTCCTTCCCCTGACCCGGCTGGCCAGTTGGTGCACGAGTGTGAGTCCACAGCCCACTGAGGCCGACGAGTAGAGACAGTGCTCTACGGGGCTTGTTGTGTTGGTTTCACAACAAAATGGATCCTATTCTACCTACCAAGGCAACCATTAATGGCATAAATGAGGAATTTCGTTGATGATCATGCATTGACATAAAATTAAGTAAAATAGGTCACTAAGCATCAGTTTTGGAGCAAAAAATAATTTAGCATTCGACCCAGAGTTCTGGCATCCACAGTGAGGAAGCATGGCAGGAGGGCTGAACGCTGGTTATGGCCAGTCTGGATCTGACAGCAGTGCTGGCATGACTGTGTCAGACGTCTGGGCAAAATGCAAAGCTGTTTAGGGATTCTTTGTACCATTTTCATTCTCTTTTTTTTTTTCGCCTGTGCCATGTGGCATACAGGAATCCCTGACCAGGGATCAAACCCATGCCTCCTGCACTGAAAGCGCAGGTGTCTATCACTGGTCAAGAACCACAGGACCCCCAGGGAAGTCCCTGTTTAGGCATTCTTGAGCTTGGGCTTTGGCAGAATTGCTGCTGCATCTCAACAGATTCTGCAGAGAATCACAGATGATAAAATTCTCCAGTTGGACAAGGAAGTCCAGATTTTGATGCACGTGGTTTTATAATCCCAGATTTATATATTTAGCGTGCCGATCATTTGGCAGATTCTCTTACAGAAAGTTCACCAACAGCATCCCGCGTTTGATCAGATTCACCTGGTTAAATTTCCCATAAATGTTCTCACAAAACCAGGGACTAAAAGAATAATACAGGGAGTATTCTTCCTCCAATGGGAACATACCTTTGTGGAAAGCTAATACATGGTGGAAACTGCCCAGTGGAATAGAGGGGATCAGGGTGGGTGTTAAGGTGAAGCTGCGTGATAAGACAACATTGATAACTAAATTGCCAACAGAGGAACGTCCGTGTTTCTGAGTATGTGAGTGAGTGATCTGGAAGATCTAGAAGCACGTAGAGCCTGAAAGGACACCAGTTTATTAGAAAGTATCCAAGTGGGAGAGCTAGCTGCTTACTATCTGTTGAGATAAAGGAATGACACCCCATGGCAACACCTAATTTGAGATTCATTGAGCGCTTGTGAGTATTAACCGTTTGCCATGCCAATGGTGATAAAGCTTTTTTGGGGCAAGGATATTGAACTGAAGATATTTGAATTTGTAAAGTGCTTACAACTTCTTGTAATTAACTTCTCCTTAGACAAATAGCTATTTTTGAGGCAGAAATATTTTAAAATGTGTTGTTTTAGCTGAAGAACAATCTTTAGCCAAAGGAGCTTTGGTGATGGTTTTAAAAAATATTTCTTCTCTCAGCTGATCCAAATGCATCTTTTCTCCATTTGTGCGTCAAGAGAACACAGAGCAAATGCATTTTATCCGAGTTTATCTAACAGGTTGGAATAAAGTACACAATTCATGTAAGGATAAATGTCAAGAAGAAAAGCTGAAGTATATGTCCAAGCAAAATTTATTAGATGTCTATTCAAGAAAAACACAATGACCTTTGCTTGTAAGAATTTGAAGTCAATTACCTAAAAGCTTGGTATGAATATTTTTCCTTTTAAAATCAGATACAGAGAGTAGAAACATTAATTTTTCTTAAGTATGACAGGCAACAGATATTGAAGTCTTCTCTCATAAATGGCATCAAAGGTAATTATTCATTTATCAGCAAAGCTGCATGCAGTTGACCTAATTTCAAACCCAAAGCCTTTAAAATATAAAGCTGGCTGTGAACTTGACAATAATCAAGGTAGGCTACTCAAAGGTGTTTCTTTACCTTCTTCCTAGTGAAATTCCTCTATAATCAGTGTTTATATACATTTTAATTTGGCTGCTAAAATCTTATATTCATAAACTTTTGCATAAGTGCTATCTTACAGAATCGCACTGTCGAGTCATAATAATGATTTGTGGGAGATGTAAAGGATGATCTGTTGAAGGTGTTTTAGCTTAGTTTAAATGAAGGATAAAGACCAAATTAGGAAATTCCCCTGTCTTCTCAACAACTAAATAGTCTGTACAAAAAAAAGAGCAAATGTATGTACAAAATTCTAGAGTCTACGTACATTGTGAAAAGATCAATCACTGTCCACAGAAGAAATGCTGTAAAAAGTTTTATCTATAAGGTGCTGAAGATCCAAATATGAATAGTTCTTATGCAAAGTCATAAGAAATACAAAGCTAGTTCTAGGGGTATGCGTAATTCAGGCACTGTTAACCACATTAAATCTTTCAGGTCCCAATAACATCTCGTAGGTTTCTATTTCAGGGCAGAAAATATAACCTGAATGATTTAACATTGTCTCTAAAAAGTGCCTAATATATTCTGAGGAAATAGTTTACACACACCAGGAAAATCAGGCTCAACATATTCCTGTCCTCAAATGTAGCCAGGATTCTGAGTTCCAGAGAAGAAAAATAATTATCATAGTAAAAATAATTGTATTGATCATAATCCTTACTAAAACCAGCCTTAATACTTGTGATGCTTCCAAAGTACTCTATTTCTATAAAATAATGTGTGAGATTCTTCTACATTTCCATAAAACGTACAACATAGCATATGGATTGTCCTCATACAATCTCAGATGTGTATGTGTACACACAGTGAAAACTTACCTATGAATATTGCTTACACATATTTTCAAGTGTCTATGTTAGAATAATTTTTTGCCCCTGTCACTAACACTGCTTTTATTTAACTTTTATCAGATAAATAAAACACTAAGAGCTCATTGTTCATGATGCTGATTATTACATTTTAATATAAAATAGCAATGCAACTTTACAACACAATAGTTATTTTTTTTTTGTAGTCTAGCTAAACCTCTTATATTCTCATGATTACTACCAAAGGCTCTTATTCACTTACTGTTTGCACTTCTAAAAAGTACAAGAAGAAAACCTGCAGGAAAAGACTCCTATTGGAAACTCACATTCAATTCAACAAAATCACACTCATTCGAATTACTTTCCTACTCTTGCTTTAGATTTTGTAATCACTGTGCATTTTACAACAAATAAGTGCAGGCAAACAATAGTTGAAGTACAGTTGTCATATCGTGTAAACCAGGACACTAGGCAAACTCGTGAAAGGAAAATATACTGCCAAGCTAAGAAGGTGAAAATGCAAACCACAGCACGTAGTAAGAGACAATCTTCTGGTTGCCTGAAGGGAGAACAGCTTCCAAAGTGGACCAGGGAGCCTCCAAGACACTTATTTTTTTGCCTCAACTGCTCAACCCTTATTAAGCATAGGGTTTTCTTTCTGATGCCACACATCCACTATTCCAAGTTTAGAGCAGAAAGCAGGGATATGCACTTTCACATGGAGGCTAATCCGCCCATCTTCCCCAGGGCGTGGCAGTTCAGTTGCTGGTGGTTTGGTGGCAGGTGGAGATGGTGATAGTGGGTGACTTCTGTTGGAAACTGGAAGGCATTACAGCAGGAGGCCGGCGGGATCTCTCAGGCAAGGTTATGCAGATGTGCTGCTGAAATGCGGCATAAATAACCAGGAGAGTGATTCACAGCCTCTTGACATAGTTTCCGGGAAAAGTACCAAAGAATTTGGTTCTTCTAGAGGTTCCTGAAAACAGAAATGATAAATGAAATGGGGCGGGGGGTAACAACCATGAGATATCAGTTCATCAGTTCAAGTGGGCTTGAAAACTCACTAAGAGAGCAAGCCCTCAGAGTTTGGAAAAGAAGAGAGACTCATTGAAGGGATGGGACAACAAAGTCGGCAGTCTAATCTCTACTGCCCGATGTCTTCATCACTTCTTAAGCTTAAAGGCTGCACTCCCATCAGTTCAGCTGAGTTCAGTTCTGCTGGCCAGTCGTGTCTGACTCTCTGCAATTCCATGGACTGCAGCACACCAGGCTTCCCTGTCCATCACCAACTCCTGGAGCTTGCTCAAACTCATGTCCATCGAGTCGGTGATGCCATACAACTGCTCCCATCACACCAGGCTAAAGAGAAAAGCTCAGCCTCTTGGTCTGAAGGGAGAGACAATCTTGCTGAGGAGTTGGGTTTTTAAGAACAAGGACACTTGAGTATGATGGGGCTCCATCACTGAGGCTGCTAGACAGGAGTGAGGAGCAGAAGAGGAAATGCATGTGGGTACAATCTTCTCAATAAAGATGGGGCTGGCCGTGGGATAGGATGGACTGGAAAAGGCCCACAGCAAGGCTTGGTTCTGTGAGCAGGAGGTCTGTCACGGCTCCTTAGCACAGTGTAACACGAAGGCTTTATCAGGGATGCCATCACCACCCTGTTTTGTTATTTCATAGAAGATCATGCTAAATACCACAGCATTCATTTACAAATAGCCCTGCCAGGGTCCTTCATAAAATGTAGAAAATTTGAACAACTTACTAAGTCACTAAAGAAAAAAAGGCAGACCACCGTTAGCGGGCGAGGGTTCTATCATTGGGGATGTTTCTAATATAAGGAGTAAAACCAAATGCATAAAGGACCATCATGATGATCGCCTTTGGATTCAAATATAATTCCTTTGAAGCTTTTGGGAAGAGCAAGTGTATCAAATTCTTCCTTAGGTTTTCCAGCTCACATAGAGTGAACACAGTCTCTGTACTTCCCTTTCTCATTTACCCGCTAGAGCTTACTGTTCTGGTTTGATGACTGATCTTCTTTATCCCTGTGCAGGTAAGCCATTTTACTCTTCTCAGTGGGGAATTAATATAAACAGAGGCAGAGGCTTGTGGCTGCTAATGTGGCCTTTGTTCCTTTATTTCCCGGCAGCTGGCCTGTCTACAGAAAGCCTTCATACCTCCAGCAGTTGTATCCTTCATCTTCCTACATCTGTTTCCTTTTCATCTCTTTCCTCTGTGACTTAGTATATGATACTCTTATCTACAAAAATTTTCTCAGAAAACCTCTAGTTTTCTTTCAAGATGGTAAGAATGGGGCTGTTTTGTATGTGGTAAGAATGGAACTTCTCTCTACTTGGACCACATATTGAAGCTAAGGTGGATCAGTGGACTCTTAAGAAAAGCTATGACAAACCTAGACAGTGTATTAAAAAGGAGAGACTTCACTTTGCCAACAAAGGCTCCTCTAGTAAAAATTAAGGTCTTTCCAGTAGATGTGAGAGTTGGGTGATAAAGAAGGCTGAGTGCCTAAGAATCGATGCTTTTAAACTGTGATGCTAGAGAAGTCTCCTGAGAATCCCTTGGACAACAAGGAGATCAAACCAGTCAATCCTAAAGGAAGTCAACCCCAAGTCTTCATCAGAAGGACTGATGCTGAAGCTGAAGCTCCAATACTTTGGCCACCTTATGTGAAGAGCCGACTTATTGGAAAAGACCCTGATGCGGGGAAAGATTGAGGGCAGGAGGAGAAGGGGACGACAGAGGATGAGATGGTTGGATGGCATCATTGACTCAGTGACATGAGTTTGAGCGAGCTCTGGGAGATAGTGGAGGACAGGGAAGCCTGGCATGCTATAGTCCACGGGGTCGCAGAGTCGAACGTTACTGAGTGACTGAACAACAACCAAGGGCACCTCCAGCAGACCTAGTCATGCATGAGTTGTTCGTTTCATCTGTTTTCTCAGAGTAGACCCTCACTGCTGATGACCAGCATTCTCTGCTGAATAGAACATTCATGTTTCTCGTCTAAGGGACAGCTCATTATTGTTCTCAGATCCCAGCCTTTACTGGTTGGTGCCATTTAGAGAAAATTTCTTCTTTCAGTTGACTTGGAAATAAAACCAGCAGGAAACCACATATACCTGAAGCAGTAATACTAAACTCTATTCAAAATGCAGTTGCCCTAGGATTACATTAATGCATATGGATGTATGAAAGATCAAAGGCATTAGGAAATCCAAGAAAGCTTGACTATCACTTCCAACCATGCACGGGAGCAAACATAAGCAAATTATAAAATGGCCAAATGCCTGAAAGGAAATGTACACATACCCACAAACCATCCATCATCACATTTTTCCATCACATCAATGACATCACTTTCTCTGAGCTCCAGCTCATCTTCATTCCTAGGAGTATAGTTATACAGAGCCTGAAACCTTAAACAAGACAAATGCACGTGTTAAAAAAATTTTTTTGCACCTCTATGAAACTACCGAAAGAATATAATATTTATTTTACTTTGAACCTATCCTTGACATGTTAATTAGGTAGTATAAGTCTTTGGTAAGGTTGTAAAGTAAGTAGAGGTAGTTAAGCTTTCATGAGAATTAGACCACACTAACAGCATCTCAGAACTCACAATGAGGAAAATTTATGGAAGATTCTAATATCCATGAGTTGTATTAAAACATTTTAACATTTATAAATTTGACCTGCACTTCAATTGTACAGTCATAGATAGTGATCATTTGGACATTAAATAATAATACAGAATATAAGAGAAGTGGTATGTGTACTTTTCAGCTATATAAAACAAGAAGGAATTGTAGTTTTAACTAGTCATATTCAGAAACAAGGAACTGCAACTTGCAAGTGGATTTTTCAAATGATTCTAAATCGAGATGTACAAAATGTCTCAGGTAAAGCTTTTATATTGCTATGTGGAAATTACTATAAAAGAGAAGTTTATTTATTTTTTTTTTACTGGGAGGAAGTCTTTAAAAATAGTTTAATTTCATAGTTTGCATCAGTGTAAGTGGTTGTCTCAGGCAGTAGATTTAGAGACATAAGTTCTTTTTTAAAATGGGCCCTGGAAAAGTTGTTCTTAATGTAAAAACTCTCTCTTGAAATAACTGTATGTAAAAGTATTACTGATAGAATGCTGCCACTTTTCTTTCTTTCTTTGAATTCTTTGAGAGCATATATTTTGGTGGCATCAATCAGTAATAAACTCAGAGAATTTTGGGTAATAAAATAGCATGCATACTAATATGGACTGGCATTTTGGAAGGATACCAATTCTAGCAGTTTAGAGGGTCAGGATGCATTTGATATGCAGCTAACATGAAAATGTCATATTACTACTAAAATAATACCAGTATTGTGAGGGGGATTTTTTTTTAAATGAATTTGTTTCTGCTGTTCTTCTTAACAGTTAATGTATTTTTGCCAAAGTAGGAAATAAAAATCACATTTCATGGCACTTTGGATTTTTTCAAGCTAACTTTAAAAGGTTGATAATGGATATTGCTCAGGAACCAGAATGATTTATTTTGATTACTTTAGTCAAGAGAATCATCCTTTGGTAGAACAAAACTGTTCTCTCACCTGAACTCAAATGTCATGTGACAAATCAGAGACAGGCTGTATTGGCTTCCCTGAACTTTTTCCGATTGGGGAAGGAGTGAGTCTGGATAAAGCTGGACTGGGGGAGGGTGTACTGGGGAAAGACCTGATAAGATGTGGTGTCTAACAGCCTCACCTAGAAAACATTATCTTCTCTAGCCTGAGAGCAAAGCCTGAAATTCCAGTGTTAGAGATTTCTTCCCCTGTTAACATTTTTTTCTCCAGGTAAACCTTATTAGCCACTTGGGGTTTTGAGGTCTTCTATGGAGAAAGGATTCTGGTTGTGGGGAAGGGCTAAGAAAGATAGCCTAAATCCTAGAGCAGTGGCAAAATAGACAGGGAGGTCTTGAGTACCAACATTCCTTAATTTGGATGTTTGCATGGGGTGAACCCTGATTGGAGGAGTCAGATTATTTTGTTGTTCGATTTGAAGATGCTCAGGTGAAAGAATGGTATCTTTTTTCCATCCCTGGGGGAAGTTAGTTTCACTGCCATTCCTTTTCCGGTCTCACATTTGAGAGAGAGAGGCATTCCTGGGCTGCTAAATCTATAGCTATACATTGCATCTCTCACTTTGGGAAATGCTAGATCTCTAAGCTCTTCAGCCTTCAGCCTTCACCCAGGCCCATCTCCAACCACTCTTAGAAATAGGCCTATTTAAGGCCATAAATCCCAGCTGCTTGAAGAATCTCAAGGTCCCAAGAGCAGAAAAAAAAAAAAAAAAAAAAAGAACTGGCACGAACTCCTACTTCGCTTTAACATGATGAAAACCAGTGTGCTTGTCAAAGTTTACTTACCATTCTGGTTTAATTAGACCACCAAAAAAAAAAAAAAAGAAAATTGGAAGTTTCATGGAAACATAAACAAACCTTTCAGAAATCCTCCTGCCTCTGTTGGCTTTCAAAATCAGTGTTGCATGACAGGAAATGCAGTCAAATTACAATTTTAAAAAATGCTATTTTGAAGGATGTGTTGGTGAGATGAATGATGGTGGTGGGGTCAGGATGCCTCAAAAAGAAATTTGTCTTTAAAACAGGAAATGGTCGGCCAATCATGAAACTCTGTCTATAACTTGCAGCTTTTTCTGTAACAATTTTTACCATACTTCTGAATTGGAGTGACATGATAACATTTTGTTCCTATTTTCAATCAAAACCTATTTCTTAAATGAGAGAGATTAAGTGATACCCTGCAGTCCATGGGGTTGCAAACAGTCGAACACCACTGAGCGACTGAACAACAACCTATCCTTGGCATTGTAATCAAATAGAAACTTAATAAAGAATTTTTATAATGTTCAAAGCAGGGCACTGAAAATGTGCCTCCCACCTGTGAGCTCATAAACACGTGTGAGTATTAACTCCATATGACATGAAAATGTAACATCACCTATATCCTAATTCCTAAGTTGATTAAAAGTTGCTAATACAATGCATTGATGATGCAGTGCAGTAAACCTAATCAGTCTTGGATTTATCCTCTGTGATTCATCTCATAGTCAATTGTGTAAAAAAGAACACGAAGTCAACCTTTAGAATTATGAGTTATAAACTTTTTTTCCAAACTAAATGAAATTTTAAATGATCTGTTCCTCCAAACCTCTTCATTAACAAAAATTTCTTTCTAGCTGTACCCAGTGATGGGTTAGAGATGGTTTCTGAGGCCTGAGCTTTTCGCTAAGCACCAGATATGTGAGCAGTGAGGAGGGCCTGATGGCTGGGAGGTCACGAGGCTCTGCTGGTTTGCAGTGCTCCAGCCTGGCCTGCTGAAGTCCATGGGGTCACAGAGTCGGACTGGGCAACTGAAATGAATTGAGGGGAATGGAGCTTGGCCAGCCGGCAGGGGCCGCACTGTGTGTCCTCGGGTCAGCCCGACAAGGTTTAGTAATGCTCCTTCCCAGGGGGCTCACTCCTGACTCAGAGAGGCAACAGTCAGCAGGAAGTGGATAACCTCTGAATGTCTCTCTTGGGCAAAATGGAGCAGAAAGGCAACCTTCAGGGCGGCATGTGACACCTTCAGGGTTGATCTGACTTAGTATCAGAAAGGAGGTGGGGATTTGAAAGAAAGTGTGAACAGGCATTTTCCTGGCCCTCTGGGTTGTAAACATCACATAACTGACAATGCATGACATTTCCAACATTCTGGAACTTTGTAACTATGTCACTAACTTATCACTGTAGGTCTACTTTGACATTCTCTTGCTTTGCAAATATGTGTAAAAACAATGTTAGAACATTTTCAGTGTCTTAAGGCTGCAGTTACTAGAATCTACATGCTGAGTAGCACAAGGAGAGAGACAGATTCATAAATCTTAGGAATCACTGCAGCATTGGAAGGTTTTTCTAGTGCCTAAATCAATCTTTGCAAAATCATGGATTTTTTTCAAAAGTAGCTTCTGTTCTCTGTTGTGAAAGATGGAAGTTATTGCAATTACTCTTAATCTGGGAGGTCTTATCTCATGTTAGTTACTCTGGTCTCTTTCATGTGCAAAGTTGTACCATCCTCGCTTATGGTACATCAGTGGTCCATTATTCGGGTCAAGGTTAGTCTCAAATTTAGAAGATAAGAAGAATACTTACGGTTCCCCCCCACCTTGAATGTTTTCATGAGTAAACACAGGACGCTGTGGCTGAAATGAAATGATTTTCAATGTAATCAATGCTTAAACTGGTACTAATTAAAAGATAATTTGGATAATGGCATGGCACTTTTCTTGACATTTAATATTTCCTGTTGTAAAAAACCAAGAGGAAGAAAAGAAAAACCAAATAAAGGGTTTCTATAGGATTCATAATTAAAATATTTTGAAGGGTGCTTTAAATTAAGTAGAAATAACCAAAGTTCAAATGTTTGAACATATCTGCAATCTTGTCTGCTCAAGCTTTAAGGAAGACTCAGGGCTCAGTCCCATTGATTTTTCAAAGGCCAGGAACATGGCAAGAACATAGACACCAAATAACTAGACTGGGGAGTCTGGACATCTTCATTCAACCTTATTCTTCAGCGTTTTCTCAAACAAGCAAAAAATAAACCACATGTAGTCTTAACAGCAAAGTATCCACATTCATTCTAATATACTTTTCCTTCACAGACAACATTTTCACATACAGTACAGAGGAACATGTCAAGAGGCAGACATGCCATGCTACATTTGAATTAACACTCTCTGTTCTCAATGTGGAGGAAACACATGCATTTTTAAAAACAGAAAACAGAGAGTTTTAAATTGCATGTAACAAACAATATCCAGGTAACACGTAACATTTTACCTGAGAAGAGAAATACTGGTAGAAATTCCCAGTGCACTGAACTCTCAAAAGAGTTTCTTTTCTTTTTAAACTAAGCATCAAGACCAGTATCTGTAATAGATACTTATAATATTGGAAATGACAAGCCTTTGAATCCCATATATCCACATAAATACTTCAATGAATGAAAGTTAACATGTTTCTTGAATATGTAAACTCAATGTCATTTATACCAACTGTCTAAATGTTACCTTTTGGGGGGGGGGAATGCATTACAGTTCATTCACAACACACTTCAAAACTTATAAATGATGGCTACATGGTAAAAATGAGATAAATCAGAATCTGAATGACAAATTGCATGGCAATTATAAAAGTGATTCCTTATTGATGACTAGATTTTAGATCCCTGACATTAGACTTCAGGGTCAGTTCCTGGATCCCAGAGTTATAAATGGATAACTGAGAGACTGGGAATTCCCCCCTGCAAACTGTCCATCAAACCTCCACTGGTTCAAGAATGGAGGGTGACTTTGGGGTTTCTTTCAGTCTAAGAGTCTATAAGCTGCTCCCTTCCTGCATTCTTTATCCACTTCCTTCCCATCCAAGCTGTCTGTCTAGCATAGAAGACTAGGTGCTTGTTACTATACTACTAAAACTTCAAGCTTTCAATTAATAGTAATTGGAAACTACTATTTACCAGCGGTATTCTTAGAAATTTCACTCAACAGTCTATGCATGGAATATATAAGTGTAAGATTAAAGAGTGGATAAAAATTGTTGGACACATGTATGGCTTAAGAGTATAATACTTAGCCTGTACATAGATATAAAATAACTAACAATGTATTTATTATTAAAATTATAAAATATACTATTTTAAGATTGATTAAAACAAAACAAATTAAATAAAACAAAAAGTAAAGTTAAGTCATTCTTAAGCCTACATTTCTTCAAGTTTTCGTTCAGTCATATATATATGATATATTACATATATATCTTATATATATATAATTTTATGCAGAAGTAAGATTTATATTTATCAATTGCTATTTATGTTTTGCAATAATTTCCAGTCTCCTTTTCTCAGTCTTCTTGTTAATTTTAAATCACTGCAGAATAATGTTCCCTCACATAGGTTGATTTTGATTGTTTTAGTCATCTCTCTCTCTTTTTTGCTTTTGAAATTAAGATTGGTCTTGCCTTTTTCACTATCATATATATCAAAGCTATAAACATTTTTATACAAAGAGATATTTTCTTCTTTTGAGCTATTCCTTAGAACACATTTCCAGGAGTAAGATTTCAGGCCAAAGATTATGCATTCAAGTCACATGATATTGAAAATGTTTGTATTAGTTACTCAAAAATACTACATTTAAAAATGTAACTTAAAAACACCTAAAATGCCATATTTCAAATTTCATACCAAGATAGCTACTAATTTGCACACACACACAAAATCATAGCGCCATTTGCAGTGCATAACAAAGTTATAATTAAGAAAATGTTCTTGCTTTAAGAGAAAATGTTTTGTAAAATATATTTCATTGTGCTCTAAAAATGTCATGCCTATTTTCACACTTTTAAACCATTCTAATAGTGTTGAGTTGAGTAAAAGTTTCACTTCTACATCATGGCATCAGTGCTTGGTAAAACTGGTTGGTCTAATTTCATTGCTCCCTATGTAAAAATGTGAATACAACTTTAAAATCAGATTGTTAATATAAAAAAATCTACTTATTAAAACCCATATAGCACTTTTCCATTATTGTCATTATAGTTCTACTAGTTTAATTTCTTTAATTCAACTCATTTCCTAAATCATTTAAATGAACCATCTCTTTGCTAATTATGAAAGTCAGGCTTTTGCAAGAACCAAGCGGCTACCTTAATTCCAGAGGCCTCTATGTCTTAATAATTTGTGTTCCTGGGTGTGTCAGCCAGTAATATCCTTGTTTTTTAACCAATCTTTCCCAATACTTCCTTCATATCCTTGAAAGGACCCACCCCCACTTTTTTTTTTTTTCTTCCTGAACCACTGGTTTTCTATACTGTTCACATACTCAGGCCAGGATTTATCATGGCTTTTATTAGCAGAGAAGTTGTGTATCTATTATAACAGACTTTTAGAACTTTTCTGAGGTTACCTTTGATAGGACTCCTCTCCATGTGAATGTGGATACCTGGGAACCAGTTTGGAGGAATGATGACCAGTTACAGCAACTGAAATAATTTATTTTAAAAGTATTTGGTCAACAGAGGAGTAAGCAGTATAGATACTTGCGAGGGCACGCTTGTGTCTTTCTGGCGTTGGCAGTGACTGACTGTGTGACCTTTGATACGCACCTCAGTTTCCTTATTGCTGAAATCAAGGAGTCAGACACGATGATGGTTTAGGTCATGTCCCCCTTGGGGAATCCATAAAGGAATCCACATTTCCACAGATGTCTTTCCCTTGTTACCCATTCAGTTGTCAGAGAGCCGTGACAACTGATGTTGGTTAATTTCCAAGTGTCTCCGTCACATAAAAGCAATTAATTTTAAATCAATAATGAAACTTCATTTTTCAGATCAGTAAACCCAAGCCCAAAGAAACTTTCTTAATACCACAAACAGGTAAGAAGAAGGAACTGAATTATAATTTTGACTCTCTATATTGGATTAAAGATGACTATGATGGAATAGACAGTGTGGGCTTATTAAAGTCACATCTTTTTTTTTTTTTTTTTTAGGTGCTTCTTTTTTAATTGAAGTATAATTGCTTTACAGAATTTTGTTGTTTTCTGTCAAATATCAACAAGAATCAACCATAGGTATTCTTGCCTGGAAAATCCCATGGACAGAGGAGCCTGGTGGGCTACAGTCCGTAGGGTCACAGAGTCTGAAGCAGCTGAGCACTTTGACTTGTGATAGGAAAGTTAGAAGATGCTGGATCTGGCTAGTTGCCCCTCCTTTAGGTCACTTAAGACTCTGGTTACATAATTTCCCTTGAAGGGCAGATTTAAAGTCACATCTTGATTTCTTCCTTTAGGCAAGTGTTTATGTTCTGTGTGGATACTCAATTGAACTGTTGTGGGAGGCTCTTTTGCTTTTCCCCTCCTGGTATTGAAACTGGGCGCAAAGCTTGAGGCAAAGACCTGTGTCTGCACTCTATTGCCGCCTAATGGTGAATAATGGCAGCAACATGTTAAAAAGTGTTCATGCCTTTGGACACTCTCGCCAAGTTTCCTTCAGCCTGGAGTCATTTTGAAAGGCTATTTTAAAGACCACAGAGCGATGTGGAATCGATATTCATCTGTGTTTCTGACCTGTCTCAGATTTTAAATTCTGAGAAAGGATCAGCCTTTAGCCACCAGTATTTTTGGCCTGTGTTCATTTGCATTTTCACTATCTGCTCAGGCATTTCTATTACTCATAACTTCTTAGCAGTTTTGTGATAAATATAGAACCAGATACATTAGTGACATTCAAGAAGCTCATATGAGCTGCGAGTTTTAAAGGATAGTTTTGTTAAAGGAAGTTAACAGATGACAGTGTGCTGGAAATCTTAAGTGAGAATTATGTCGTATTTATATTTCCTTAATGAGTCTTAAGAGCACAATAAAAATGAGAAAATTCAATGAAACATGATATTTTTGTAGAATCCTAAATATTAGCTTTTTCCTTGAAAATGTAGCAATCTTTTTTTTTCTCTCCTAGTGTAGCTATTTTTTTTAGGGATGTCAAAAGCAGATACAAGAGAGACAGGTTTTAAACACATGCTAATTTCAAAGCCAGAACCAACTACAAACCACTGCTCATAAGAAAGCTGGTTTGAAACATCCTAGAATCTCTGGTATCAGTAAAATACATACTTTTTTAGTTCAGATAATAAGTTTGTCCTAAAATTAGATAATTCTTACATAAATATTGACCATTACTTTAAATACTAATATGGAAAAATCTTGGAAAGAGCTAAAAGCTGTTCTAGAGTTCTTTTTTTTTTCCCCCAGAAAATGTTAGGTGTGGTACTTTCCAAGCAGAATTAGATGAAATTCTCTTAATAACAGTACCATGTTTATGTTTATAGATGTATTTTTCTTTCTTACATTATACAATTATTTTAATATTTAAATTATTTTTAAATTGCAAAAACACAATTTTTCATAGATCTAAAGAATATTTGTGTTTCATACAAACATGTAGAACATATAAGCACATAATGTAAAAATCTGGCAAAGAAAAAACTTAAGGTGACCCAAAGCATACCATCTCACTGACCCAAGGAGGTTTATGGATGGGCCGTATTAATTTTGGAAAATGCTTTCTTTTTGTTTTGGCTCTGGAAAGCCCTTCCATGAGACCTTTTTCCTAGTCAACATTCCTCATTCTCTATGGCAACAACAAATCTCTGCCTCAGAAGCAAAATCAGGACTTATGCAAAGCAAAAAAGCATAAAAATGGCCTAAACACAGAGAAGTATCTATATTTCTAAAAAACAGAAAAGGAAATCTTTGCCATCAAGCCCTTAAAAGCCAGCAGAACCACAACTTCATCATGTAATGAAACATGTGAGATTGAACCAGCATCCATCAAAAGAGAAATGGGAAAGGACTGACTTATGCAGAGATGAAAATTCTCAAACTCCTCCTCTGACATTCTCAGAACTGATGGCACCAGTTAGAATCAATTTATTTTCAAGGGCTGTTGATGCTACAGAGCTAAGTAGTCAAAGGGAACGTAATCTGACCTTTAAGCTCATTCAAAGCTCTCAAGAGCCTGGGAGACCCTGGAGCCCAGAGAAGCAGCGTTGGCTTGAAAGGGTCATGGAGTGAATTCAGCACGTGCCAGCAAAGCAAGAAGATACTTTACAACAAGGATCACGGATTAAAGGAAATCCAAATAAACTGAACAACCCGGGAGCAGACATGCCTGGAAGGGTGTAAGTTCAGTATGTGATTGGCAGCAGCTTTATTCTTTGCACTAAAAGTAGTGATGGAAGAGCAGTGATTTACACGAGGTGGAGGCACGTACCACGCCCTTTTGTGGACAGAGAATTGGGACATGTCTTTTTGGCTTTTGGAAGGCTTGCACACACACATAAAAGAGAAGCACATTGCCCACAGGTGCAGGATAGGATTTCCATGTTGATCTGACTTCGTAGCTGTTCATCATCAATAGATCATCTCCTTTCAAGGGTACGTCCAGTCCTACTTCCCTGGCAAAGTACAGCAAAGACAACTAAGGAAGAGCCAGCCCACCGAGGGCAGAGGGGTGGCTGGGAGCCTGGCTCAAGACAGGGCGTTCTGACCCTACCCTGTGGGAACCGCCGAGCCCTCTGACAGGGGAGCCGGAGGTCCTCCTGGACATCACTGGGCTACGCGGAGGCTTACCCAGGACAAATAGCTCGCTTTTAAAATCAGCCTGGAAAAGCCATAAGAAGTTGATTAGTTCTTGTCTTCATTATCCAGCCTTCAGAGGAGCTTTCTGGTTTCTTTTTTGCTCCCCCCATGCACACACAGCATGCCAAACTCCCGGGTAACAGAGCCAGAAGGTTAACAGTCTGCAGACAGCTCGCCTGGTGGCCCAGTTTTCACTGCACAAGCATCAGTTGCTGCCTTAACAAGGAACTCATGGGCAGAGCAGAGTGACATTTATGGAGGGAAATGGGTGTAGGGAAGATGTCTGAATGCCATGTGCATGGCTAAGAGCACCTGCAAGAAGTTTATGTCTATTGAAATGCTTAACAATTGGTTTCAAGAGACTCTCAGATCTGACCTGTTTTCTTTGTGTTTGTTTGAATAGATCCAAGGTACGATCCAGGGACATTTCACTTAATATCCATCAGATTTCATAGATGGTGTCAATCATTTTTCAAAGGCAAATTTTCTAGTAAGACACATATGAAGAAAATATGGCTTTTCTGGAGGAAATGGTGAAATATAATTAAATTCAGAATACTCTTCTATTGCCAAACACCTTGTGACTGTTTTGATGTTCCTTCAAAGTAACATTTTTTTTAATACAACAGTGAAAAAGCTAACCTTTCTTGTGTGCCTGTCTGATTTTCTGTCCATTCATGGACTGAACCTAGCAGTGTGTTTTCTAGTATTTAATTTGGCTTATGGGAACTCTGGGCTTCCCTGTTGGCTCAGATGGTAAAGAATTGCCCACAGTGCAAGAGACCAGGGTTTGGTCCCTGGGTTGGAAAGATGCCTGGAGATCTTCCCTGGAGAAGAGAATGGCAACCCACTCCAGGATTCTTTCCTGGAGAATTCCATAGACAGAAGAGCCTGGAGGGCTGCAGCCCATGGGATCCCAAGAGTTGGATATGACTGAGTGATTAACACGTACTATACTATGGGAACTTTAGCAGGACTAAAGGACTTTTAAATAAAAGCATGTGGCTTTCTCAAATTTCATAATAATTTCGTAATGATTGACCCCCTATCTTCAATCTCTGGGGATGAAATGCATCAGGTACTTTTCTTCAAGTCTTGGGGCAGAGAATGCTTCACATTATCCAGCATCCATTCTCTTCGTTGTCATCCCAGTAATGGAATCCTGAATGTCAGGTAGGCACATGGCCATTCAGAATAAAGTCTATTTTCTAGCCTTCCTTGTGTCTAGATGTGCTCATGTGACAAGTTCTGACAGATGGGATCTGTGCAATTACTAGCAAATGTCCTTCAAGAAAGAAGGTATAAGCTCCCCTCCTCTTTTCTCCTTCCTACTAGCTGGTTTGAGGAAGGAACTGTTGGAGCTGCTGCAGCCACTTAGGACCAACAACTGGAAGCTTTTCACTGAGCATGGTGATTTGCCGAAATAAAATGGAATCTCCTGATCAATGTGGAGCAACATTCCAATCCTGGATGTCCTACATTTATGCATAAGACATATACACTTCTACCTAATTATTTTGAGTTTTCTGAGACTGCAGCTGCTCCAATCGTGACTAATACGAGGTTTCTATAAACATCAAGAGTCATAGAAAAAAAAAAAGTAGCACTGGAATGATGTGGATAAACAGCTGGAAAGATCATCTGAACATATTAGGAAGAATCAGGGCTTAATTTCATGTTGGAAACTGTGTTCAAGGGGATCACCTTTTGCTGGGATGGCTTTAAGGTGAGGAGACTTCCTTATGGTACCGCAATAACTGAGTTTCTTGGAAAAAAATGAAGAGTCTTTCTATCTCTTTACAAAGCATTTCCACTGCAGTTTGAATCCATGAGCTACATGGATTTTTACAAAAGAGTTTTACATAGAATTGGAAGTTCAACTTACATCAAAGCTGAGGATTATAATAATTCTTTTTTGTGAAAAAACATTATTTTCAAAAAGATGCTCAAAGACTAGAGAAAATGTTGGATTCTGATTTATATATCAAAATCATAATTTATGTTTACATTTCAGTCTTCTGTCATCTATAAAGGGGTGGTAACTTTTACAAATGATTTTGCATTGCATGTGACAGACTTATATTATTTCAGAAAATACTTTAGAAGAATAAAACTGCATTAAATTAATATGGGTTAGGTAAAATAGTGGTTGATGAATGTTAATAAAAATGTAATAATGATTTCACACCTACTACACTATGCCTACTAAAACATTATTGCAATTTTATTTTCTCTTTGCTTTTAGTGCTAGGTTACTTTTCTTCTTTGTAACGAGCATAATTTTCAACATTCTTGAAACAAGAGAACTAGGAAGCCTTCTTAAAGGATTCACATCAATTTTTACTTTGTCAGATGTGGATTAAACCATAATAGTGGCCTAAAATTTGTAGTTGGTTTAATTTGTATCTACACTTACAAGCATAAATTCAGTTGATTTGTATTCTTTCTATGAATAAAAAAACTGACTTATAAGAGCCTCAAAAAACTCAATAGGGGATTAAAATTAACATATGCTCTCAAATATGAGATAAAAGAAAAATAACTTGATTTTTCTGGAATTAATTATTTAAGTAGTCTTTGAAAACATAGTTACTATGATTATCTCCATGGTCTCATATCATTCTATGAACTGAGACATAAAGAATGTATGAGATGAGCTTGGTTCTTGCAGGAGAATAAACCTGTTTAAATTCTGGTTTTGTCCTTGACACTACAGTGGTGAGGGTTCCATCTCTTTAAATTAGAGAACTCCAATTCTCAAGTTAACTTGCCCACTTATTTGCTAATCATAAAGGCTGAAGAACAGGTAGGGAAAGGCAAGGAATAAATATTTTGGCTCTAAAAGAAAACCACACACACACACACAGAGAAGGCAAATTCTTAGTCTTCGACCTTATCTAAAGAATTATTATTTAAAAAATTTCCTAATTATTTCCTTCTAAGATAAAACCTCAAAGGGCAAAGAGCAATTAGTCTTTAAAACATATTATATTTTCCCCCCAAAGATTCCTTTTCTAAGTAAGATAAAATTCACATAGATGGATGATTTTGGTGGATTGATTTGGTGACTGGGGTTTGGAAGATTGCATAAACGGCATTTCTCAGGTGTTGGTGCTTTCTATTAACAGTTCAAACATGGCCCTACCAGAGCCTTCATTTTGTTTCATTTTTTACTTATCTGAAGAGGCTCTCATTCCGAGTGGAGAAGATTACATGTGAGGATGAGTCATTATCTGAAGTCCTTTTGTGTAAGGGAAAAGGTTTTGAGGATGGTTCTGAACACAGAAGTAAAACTTTTCTGTGATGGGTTGATTTCATCCTGTGGTTCTCATTAAATGTCTTTCCGAGGTCAGTCATTAATTGTGTTAAAAATCTTTTATCATGGTATCCTAAGAGGGAGTTAAACACCAGCAGAGCCGCCCGCCAGCCTGCAAGTCTCAGAGATGGATGCTTTGTTAACTGCTACAAAAGAAGCCTCCTTCCCACGTCCTCATTAGTTTCCTGCAATTTTGTGGAAGAGCAAGGCTCAAGACAGTCAGTGTCAAAGATCATCCAACCCTCAGGCTCTGCTGAACCTGCTGATTAGTTGGGAAACTTGGGAGGCAAGGAGCCCACTAAGAAGTGACAGAAGATACAGGCACATAGCTGACACCTGATCAGCTCCTGCTGATCCCCAACCTAAAAAAAAAGTGTAATGATCACATTTTATTACTATACAAAGTTTAGCCTGTTTTTCTCCTCACTCTTAAGTATAGCTGCTGTGCAAATATATCTTCTCAAATTTTCAGACAGAGGCCATGCTAATGATGTTAAAAGTTAGCAACCAACATTGAATGACTTTTTAGGTCTTGTAAGATGACATGAATCTAAAGACATACATTTAATTAATGAAGTTCATTGAAAGACATGCAATAAACCACACTCAAGATGCAGTTACCTTTAATTGTGGTGAGCTTATCTCCTGTTGGTAAGAGTGTTTAGGAAGGAGCAGAGGTGAGTAGGGCTGGGTAGGCTGAGAGAGTGTGGGGACCGGGTCAGAGACAGTGGCCAAGGAGGCATGAAAGGGAGGGAAGGAAAGCAGACAGCTGGGGAAAGATGTAGACGTTCGATGTCCCGAAGAGAATGAAGATGGCTTAAATATTGAGGAAAGACAAGATGAAATTATGCTTGTGTCCAGAATGAGGTTACACGCCTTTTAGAGAATACCCACCCCCCCCATACCTAGATATTTTTAAAGTTACTACATACCCTGGGTGTGTGACATTTATGACAACTTCTTGCTTTGAAAGCATTAACTTCTGAATTTGACTCAAAATTCCCAGTGGGTTTGATCAGTTTCATTTTTCTGACACGAGGGACTGGAGATCAGAATTCCCATAGTCTACAATTTTATAAGGTATTTGTGAGGTGGGGCCTTCTGACCATGAAGGGAAAAAAATGTAAAACCCTGCAATGACTGTCTGAAGCTTGCTTGTGAAGTAGATCGCAATTTATGAAGAGGAGATTTGTTACAAAGCTAGGCAAGCAGGACCTCTGTCTGTGCCTGTGTGTGCTTGTTGGGAACTGGCTGTAAAACTCAGCACCCCCTTCCTGAATACCATGCCAGTGGTGCTGCCTGCAGCCTGCAGTAGCAGTTCTTGGGAACCAAGCCACATATCTAATAACATCTTAACACTGATTAAATTGAAGGGAAAATAAGTTACTTAAGTAAGTGACTTAGAAATATTTTTGATTTACTGCAATGGATGAATGATCTCTATTATTAAAAGTTTGTTTATTTTATACAAATGCAGGCATGGCTGGGTTCTTTGTCCAGATGACATTTTCTCATCTGGTTGGGAAACTGCCAAGACTCAAGGGTTTTGGGGCTGTCCAGTGACCTAATGGACACTTAGCATCGTTTAATCCCAAGAATACCCCATATAGACCAAATACCTCTACATTTGTTATTGGTAAGGTCTGAATAGGAAATTAAGGTTTTCCTTAAAATGAGGTTTTAAAAATGAATTTCATGATGGAAAAATGTTTCAAATAAATGAAATGCACAGGGAAAAAAAAAGATTGTCATTTAAAAAGATTTCTAAATAGAGGAGCCATGGGAGAAAGTGACTTGCTTAGTAGCAGTAGTCACATTTGCTTTTCTAATTCACAGATTAAATATTTGGGATATCAAGTTTTGTTTTTGTCTTTTTTAGAAGAGAGAAGCTTACAAGAAGCTTAGAGATTTAGAGAATTTCTCTCTTTATTGATTAAAATCATTGCCCAAGGCTCTTTGTTGGTAAGGTGAATATGCAGGACCCAATTCTTAAGTAGTTACCAACTTAAAAAATTATGTCTTCAGAGAGAATTGAAAGGGAACTGGTGTGTATATATATTTTTTTCTTTTCTTTCTTTCTCTTTTTTTCCTTCCTTCTTTTTCAGACTGCTGTTATATCAAAGAAATGCTATTTAGTTTTCGCACTCTGGAGGTGAATTAATCTCTCTCTGTGTATATCAATTTCCTCATCTGTATAGTGGGGATAATAATAATATTACCCACCCTATTGAGTTTTGAAAAGTAAAGATGTATTGTTCTTAGAAAACTATTTGAAACTCAGTAAGACCTCAAATATTAACTATTATTATTAATATTAAAATTAGAAAGACTTTATAAACATGTTTAAATATGGATTTACAGTAATAAATAACAGAATAACAATACATATGTACATCATCTTAGTAAAATTTGATGTTTTTCATCCATCCTTCCACCTTGCCCTTATACTGCATGGTGCTGTGTTTATTGCGTGGAAACCTTCTAAGACAATGTCAGAATTAGTGTTTATTAATATGATTAACTGTCCTAGCTAATTATAGTAAGACTGGTTAGTTCTTCAGGAATTAGGCAACATTAAAATACCTCATCACTGGTTTTTGCCGCATTGCTGTCTTCCTTAGGGGCCCTAGGGCCTGTGAGGGTGGCTGTTGGATATCTCAGGCAGTCAGCTTGTCTTTCCTCTTCCTCCTCTTCAATGTGGAGGTGTGACGTCACCTCTGTGCCATCATGGCCATAGCATAAGGCATCTGGATGTTGAGATTCTGGCCCTCTTCGGGTGCCTGCCCTGACCCCCTCATAGACTTCCTCATCTTCCTCTCCAATGACAGGGAGGGTTTGGGGCCAGGGACCCACGCCAGGGTGTGTGCAGGTCACAAACTTGTCACCTAGGACCTCCAGTACCTTCTCCGGGCCTTCAGAGCCCTCTCTCGTTTTTGTCACATTTGCAGACTGGTTTGGAGGTGTCTTTCCAGAATCCTGAAGCATCGTGGCCTCAGGAGGCCGGGCTGCAGCTGAGGTCATAGCCGAGTGGAGCAAAGGCAGCCGAGAAGAGGGGCCTCGGGCAGGTGCGGGTGCTCGCGGCCACGGGGGGAGGGTGGAAGGGTCCTCCTTAACCTCAAGGCTGATCTCCTCCGGGGTATCTGGTTTGGCTGGGTCAGCTGGTAAAGCTAAAGCACCAAGCTTCTCTAATTCGTCCAAGAACTTGTCCAGAAAATGAGGCGGCGTTGGGGCTGAAGGATTTATCAGTGCACCCTTGGCTGGCAGGGACAGCCACCCTGGGGTGCTTCCCTGGAGAGCGTCGCTATCAGGGTCACGGGAAGCTTTGTGCAAGAGAGGGGGGCCTGGTTCACTGGAAGCCAGCTTAGAGATGAGCAGGGATTATGAAGTTACAGAAAAGATGAAAGTAAAAATAATGCATCAAGACACAGAGACAGAAATGCAAAAAGACATGGTGGTGAATATAAAAAGTATGTTATGCTACGGTGTAGACTGGCTGTTAGTTTTAGAATCTAAATACATAAAATCCTTAGCATATTAATTAAAGATTGATGTGAAGTATGCCAGCATTTGGAAAAGGTCCATTAAATGTCAAACGACAAGGTAAAGGTGTCATAGAGATTATAAAGACAGGAAAATATTTAGAGATTTAATAGTCAACTTCTTTCAAAATAGGTTTCTAGATATTGATTTAATATAAATAACTCTGAAATAATGTTAATGTAGAATGAAAACCAACAATTAAGCCTTTTTTTATTCCCAGACTTTGTTTAGTGTTCTTCCTGTGCCAAATCTTTTGAACTTTCATCATTTTCTCACTTATGGTTGCGAGGTGATTATAACATATGGCACATAATATTTTTACATCATTATATGTTAACACATTTCTAAATGAATAAGTTCTGAGAAAGATTTTTTTTAAGAAGAGAAACTTATGATCAAAATGAGACTGAACTTGCATAACTACTACTTCGAAGTTTTAAAAAATCCAGAGTAAATGTTTATACAGAAAGGGAGCATGTGATGTGAACAGGAATAAACCTCTAGTAGGACTTCCATTCTCTTTTTCAAAAGCTTGACATTTTATGTAAACTAGTGGAGGTCTAATTTATGAAACTTGATCTCCTGAAGTAAAAAAAAAATGCTTCTGTATATCTTAATATTACTACTGCATTTTGGATGTACTGAACAAAACAGAATTTTTACTCATTAAAAGTTGTTCTTGACGTGTGCCTAGGAACATTCTAATACATTTATATATTGTTTTTGGACTAGGAAGAATGTTACATGCTGCACATGTGAAGTATTTGAGACAGGCTGGCGGAAGACATTTTACTTTGGCTCTTTCCAAGTAGACGATTGGGGTTTGGAAAGAAAAACATCTTCAAGAGAGATTGTACTTTCTGGCTGACTGTTTTGAATGACATGTCACTGGTGCACTCAGCACTCTTGGTCCTTGGGCCTTAGTATGGATGAGCGCACAGTGAATTCTGCAGTTAATTTTGAATTCTATCCTATAAGAGGAATGGGGTTTAATAGAATTTATCTAGATTTTTTTTTTAAAGGAAATGTGATGTCACATCACCATGGGGTGGAATAAACGAGACAAAGCGTCACAAAACATTTATGAGCATCCTTATAGAAGATTCAAGATTAAAGGCTACATAGCACCTTTTCGTGCCAGGAATATGATGTGGCTGAGGAAGAAAGGTCTTTAAATTCCATTATTGTCATGACTACCACTACACCATTACTACCACCGTTACTACCTGTTACTACTGTTACTGCAATGCCATTACCACCACCGTCACTAATACACATGTTAATGGTTTCAAAGTGCTTAGCCTTACCATGGGCTTGCTTCTACTGAAAGTTAAATCGAGTGCCCTGAGATACCTGTATCACAAAAAATATACCTGTGGTACAAGCATCATATAATTATCTTATCTTCTAAATGCATTAGAATTGGATTCTACTCTACTAAAAGCAGAAATATCAGAAATAATACCAACTTACATTTGAACCTCTCCTAAATAAAGATAATATGTCTAAAGAAATGTGATCGGAGTATGTCCAAGAGTGATTCATAAATCATAGTGAATTCCCTTCTCTATTTACAAAGATCAGTTAGAAAATAGGATATTTAACATTTAGTTTGTTTTGGGTGTCATGGTTTAGAAGTACATTACAGTTTTTTTTTTTTTTTTTCTGAAAATGATTCAGTTCAAAACTATTAAGGAGTTTCCTTCATTTAGCCAGTGACATCATAGTATAGATTCCGGTTGGTGAACCATTACATATTTTTTTAAATTTAAGGACATAAGCTTTTTAATGTATTTTTCCCCAGCAGTGAGAATAAAACACTAATTAGTCATTAGTGAATTTGTACACATCTCTACCTGTGAAATGTAAAATATGATATCCTAAGAAAAACCTAGGAAATTGAAAATACATTTAAATCATATTCACAACAAAGATCAAAACATTGTGCTCTACACTGCCAATATTTATTAAGACTTCATAGGAAAATTTCTTAAATTTTAAATAAGCCTTTGTAGATACACTGATTCTTTCTTATAACCTTTTATTTGAAAGGGCGGTCACTTTGAAATTTATCTGGTAGTTCTTTTAAGACGACTGAATGCTAGATAAGACAGATATTTAACACATAGATGAAGATTTTTTTTTTCTTTTTATCAGTAGGAACTATTGAAGGAAGGATGTTGCTATCTAAATGCTGAGCTCTAATAGTGAAGTAAACATACTAAAGAAGATTGTAGAAAATTTTGTCACCAGTCAAACAAAATTAGCAAGTACTAAACTGTTTCACTCTCCAATGCTAAAGGATTGAGAGTAATTGCTCATAAACCCAGTCTTCAAAGAAAAGTAGAATAAATAAAATGCACAGCATTAGCCCTCTAAAAGAAAATGCTTCTCTTAAGATAGTAGATTCTCTATGTCGTTTCCCTTTGTGTAGCTTAAACCATTATGCGAGTACCCATAAGAAAAACTAAATTACACTGACTTGACCTGGCACTCACACCTTAGAAACACAACATGTAAATCTTTCATTTTGCCATAGATACGATGTTGTAGTCTAATGCCCTAATATGTACCAATTATCTTACTCTGAGCTCCCAAGTATTATACTAATATGCTAGAATGTCTTCTTACCTTATTTGAACTTAAGCTGTGGATTCTATCACTAGAATAGCTGTGGGGTATTGGAAGTTCAGGATAGTCCTCAGCACCTTTGGTTGTATTCTTCTTGACAACTTCTACATAGGAAACAGGGAAGATGCCTTGTCTGTTGGTTCCTGGAATTTTACCTTCATACCAGTTTTGATCAACTCTTTTAAGAAGAATAATTCTATCTCCCTGTAATGAATAGTAGGAAAATGCATTAGAAATAGACATGTGATAACATAAAAAGTTATAATTGTCTGTGTTTTTTAATAATAGTTTTCTGTCTGGGAAAGTCTTATACTTCGAGCATTTTGTTTTCGTTAGGAAAATGCAACTAAAGCCTCCAGAGCTCACTCCTGAATTATAGCTTATCAACATATATACAGTGTAATCATCCACATATTAGAATCTTTCCTGAGGATACTTGGGCTTTACACATGTTCAGATTGGTCCTGTGGGAAATGTCATGTGTGAGTTATTTCAAAAAGTACAGTAGTTTAACCTGCAGTGTGTTGATGACAAGACCATCCTCTGATCACTGATAGATTCAAGGGGATGAGCTTCAGTGGGCAGAACCTCAGAAAGTGCACCAGAGATTGCGGTGACGGTGTGTCTGAAAAGGGTTCCAGAAAGCACCCTCTGGGAGGGATGAAGGTGGATAGCACACCATTTTTCTTCTTTTATCTAATGCGCTGCATAGTAACAAAGGAGTAAAAGCTAATGGGATGGGGCATAGCTAGCATCCTAGATAATGCATAGCTGTGGCCAGGACTCACGTCCACCTGGTATGCATCAAGACAGTGTAATACCAGCATCCATTCTGACAGGTGTGTGGCCATGCCATAGTGGTCAGTAACATTTTTCATAAAACCCCTGGCTTTGACAATGCTAGGACCTTCTATAGTCACTATTTCTGCGACCTAGAGGATCAAGCCATGCCACAAAACCCAGTTTAAATTTGGAATTTGATATAACTTTTGAATAACAAGGCAGCAGAAGAACAATATTTTGAGGTGTACTAAAGTGCTATTTTCTTTTGATGTTTTCCCTTGTATAGCTCCTGATATTTAGCCCGAGGCACCCCTGGGAGACAATTTGGAGCTCCCCCAGAGGAAAAGTCTCTTGGCAAAGCTTTGCATCCCACAACGACCTCATCAGGAAGGACACAGGAGAGGTGGGTAGCAGTGACTCAGGGCAGCCTTACGGGGTCCTTTGCAGTAAATGAGGAAGATGCAAAAATTGTCTAAGGAAGAAGATGACCTGTCCTAGTTTTGAAACTATGCAGCCTTTCAAATGCACCAAGGAAGAAAGCCGCTTACCTTTCTCAGCGATAGCTCCACGTTGGTGTCAGCACTGAAATTATATTTGGCGACAGCTTCTCCGATTTCACCAGGCTGGGCTGGGGGAGGTGGTCTTGCAGGCTGTGCTTTTTCAGGAGGTGTGAGTTTCTACAAAGGAGAACAGTTCTCTTTATTCTTTGTCTTCTTTTTAAATTAAGTTTGATTGGTGTATAGTTGCTTTATGATGCTGTGTTAGTTTCTGCCATGCAGCAAAATGAATCAGCTCTATGTGTACATAAAGCCCCTCTCTTTTGGATTTCCTTCCCATTCAGGGCACCCAAGAGCTCAAAGTAGAGTTCCCTGTGCTGTAGAGTAAGTTCTCATTAGTTATCTATTTTATACGTAGCATCAATAGTGTATATGAGTCAATCCCAGTTTCCCAATTCTTCCCATGCCACTCCCCACCCCTCCTTGGGGGGAGTGTAAACTGATACAGCTCCGATGGAAAACAGTATGGAGGTGCCTTCAAAAATGAAACGTAGAACTAACATATGACCCAGCAATCCCACTCCTGGAGATATACCCAGAGAAAACCGTAATTCAAAAGGATACGTGCACCCTAACATTCATAGCAATACTATTTACAATAGCCAGGACATGGAAACAACTTAAATGTCCCATCAGCAGAGGAATGGATAAAGATGTGGTGCATATAGCTAATGGAATATTACTCAGCCATAAAAATGAATGAAATTGGGTCATTTGTGGAGACATGGATAGTCCTAGAGATGGTCATACAGACTGAGGTAAGAAGGAGAAAAACAAATATCATGTATTAACTCATAACTGTGGAGTCTAAAACAATGGTACAGATGAACTTATTTGCAAAGCAGTTATCTATTCTTGACCCGTGGTGACTCTAGAAACAACAATCACATAGAGGGAGAAGGGGAAGGGCTTACCTCTACATATGAGATTGGGAAAATGCCCACTCTCCCGTGATGCTCTCCCTCATACCAGTTCTGATCAATTTTCCTGAGGATGTAGACAGTATCTCCTTTCTTAAATGACAGCTCCCTGGAAGAGATACATTAAAATTTTTTTGTGTGTGTGATGTACAGCAGTTATTCTTCAGATCAGCATTCTCACTGGATCTGCATTTGGCTGGTTAATGTACTTCTAGTATTGAAAAAAAGTCTGTTGAGCCCAGTTAGCTAAGAATGCTCCTTGAAAAATTTTTAGAATTCATTTGAAACATTATCATTTTAGAAATGATTGAAAAAGAGCAAATATAAACATCATGTCTGATTTAAATCACAGGCAGATTAATATGAAATTCAAAGGTGGGGACAGATGATTGCTATCTACTCTTTGATTTATGGGAGAAGAGTTGTGATGCCTGCCATAATGCTGGGTTTAGTCTGCAATAATTTTTATTTGCCCTGAAGTTAGCTAGTTAGTTACTTCTCTCTCTTCATCTCCTTTGTCTCCTCCTGTGAGCTCAAGCTTACAATGAGGAGACCAATATCATTTAGCCTTAGCACACAAGTGCCAACATGAGAAAAAATTTTATTTGTGGTTCCTTGAAGCTGGTTGACAGGCATTTAAGTAGAGTGTCTTGATAATGATTTTATCTTGTGGAGCAGAAAAGATTTTATACTTTGATTTTTCAGTGAGGTACAATGAGAAAAAATTTTAAAACGTGGAGTATAATTGACATGTAATATTATGTTAGTTTCGGATGTACAACATAATATTTGTGTATATTTAAAAATGACCACCACAATAAGTTGAATTAACAGTTCCCCCCTTTTGTTTCCCTTTTTTTTTATGTGAGAACCTTTAAGATTTATTAGAAACTTTCAAATATGCAGTACAGTATTATGAACTATGGTCACAAAGATCAATTTGTTTCAAGTGCAAAGACATGCACAGATTGCTTGTACCCTCCTTTATGTTTTTTTGGTTTTTAAATATAAAAATAATTTCAAGAAAGTAAGTATGCTTTTCCATTTTGACTGTTTCTAAGGAGACAGTAGGTAGATTGGGGTGTTTAAGTTATAAAGACATTACTCATCATGAATAATTCATGCCTAAATTCTCACCCTCACTGCTATAGTTTTTCATGGCTTCATCTCCCAGGTGATTGTGTCTCTGTGTTATTTTGTCTTCACAATTATGTCTCGTTGAAGGGTACTTATTTTGGATCTTTTGCCAAGAGCCCCACAGTTCCACACATCTGCCTTCCCACTCCCAAATCTTCTGTGTTGTTTTGTTCAGGATCTTGAGTTGGAGCATTTATGTGTGCAGAGTATATAACACAGAGAGGTTTATATTAAGTGTAGAATATTTCACATTGATTAAAAGAATTAATTGAAAAAGGTTGCATAATTAAAAGAATTATCACACATTTAGAAGTGCTAAAATCTTCACAATGGAAGTGTGTTAAAATTTCAGTAACCCTAAAAGCAAAGAAGATTCACAGAGCCTTACATTCAAATACAGTACTTCCCTCTTCATGCATGTGCCTAATATAGAAAAGAAAAACCGAAGTGTTTTCATGTTTACAATCCAACAGTTTTATTTATACTAAGTACATTTTGTATCTGGAAATGAGATCAGAAAGCTTAGCTTTTAAAAAAGAGTAATTAAGAGACAGCTAATTATTTTTCTTTTAAATATGAGAAGATATCCTTTCTATGTGTAAAGACTTGTATTTAAAATTTTCAAGTCATCTGGGAAAAAAGGACAGTGGTCTCACTTTTCAGTTTTCAAAATTATGTTCATCTCATCTCAGAGCTAGAATTTCTAGCATTTGTTTGTAGACTTTTTGATAATGGCCATTCTGACCAGTGTGAGGTGATATCTCATTGTAGTTTTGATTTGCATTTCTCTAATAATGAGCAATGTTGAGCATCTTTTCATGTGTTTGTTAGCCATCTGTACATCTTCCTTGGAGAAATGTCTGTTTAGGTCTTTTCTCCACTTTTTGATTGGGTTGTTTGTTTTTCTGCCATTGAGTTGTATGAACTGCTTGTATATTTAGGAAATTAATCCTTTCTCAGTTGTTTCATTTGCTATTATTTTCTCCCATTCTGAGGGTTGTCTTTTTACCTTGCTTATAGTTTCCTTTGCTGTGCTAAAACTTTTAAGTTTCACCATTGAGAATAATGTTTGCTGTAGGCTTATTATGGTCTTTATTATGTTTAGGTAGGTTCCTTCTATGCCCATTTTTTGAAGAGTTTTCATCATAAATGGGTGCTGAATTTTGTCAAAGGCTTTTCCTGCATCTATTGAGATGATCATATGATTTTTATTTTTCAATTTGTTAATATGGTGTGTCATATTGATTGATTTGCATATATTGAGAATCCTTGCATCCCTGGAATAAACCCAATTTGATCATGGTGTATGAGCGTTTTGATGTGTTGCTGAATTCTGTTTGCTAGAATTTTGTTGAGGATTTTTGCATCCATGTTCATCAGTGATACTGGCCTGTACTTTTCTTTTCTTGTGTTGTCATTGTCTGGTTTTGGTATCAGGGTGATGGTGGCCTTCTAGAATGAGTCTGGAAGTGTTCCTTCCTCTGCAATTTTTTGAAAGAATTTTAGAAAGATAGGCATTAGCTCTTCTCTAAATGTTTGATAGAATTCTCCTGTGAAGCCATCTGGTCCTGGGCTTTTGTTTTTTGGGAGATTTTGGTCATAGTTTCAATTTCAGTGCTTGTAATTGGGTTGCTCATAATTTCTATTTCTTCCTG